ACAATGACGAATGCGTGGTCCATATGCTGACCATAAAGGAGTACATTCTGTTCGTAAGGACTTAGTACGGTGTTTTCCAAATGACCCATAAATATATCAGCCAAAACAGGGCCTAATGGACTGCCCAAGGCCAAGCCGTCGATGTGTCCATGCAGGGTTGCATTGAATCGGAACTGAATATCTTTCGAGGTTGGCTTGCCGAACTACCTTATCGTGGTAGCAACTAAATGCTCCGGGATTATCCCTTTCCAGCAAAAGTTTCGGTTGCAGTGTTCCAGGAGGCAGTGGGTTTTTGCCTGGCAAGCGTTCTCCCTATAAAAAGCCACATATGCTCGTTTAAAAATACACTGTGAACTGGCGGATGTGAGTCGTCACTAAATTAACTCACTGCCTCTTGCTTCACCTCGCTGGAGCATTGTCCTCCTTCAGCTGGACGCTGGATTACTGGGAATATTGGGCCCCTGTATGGCAGCCAGTTAAACGAAAGGCGTATGAACCGAATAACCGGACACCGGCTCCCAATGGGCGCGATTCCATGAATTCGACCCGCTGCCTTGCGGGTCAGGTCCCTATGACCTAATGCTCCTGGTAGGGTACCCTAAGTCAACCCCCTACCTCTGCCTGGGCAACTGGGATGCTGTATGCCCACACAACACATGAAATGATGAATTTACTTCGCTCTGCCACCGTTTCTCGAGCTCTGAACTCTCTCGCTTTCATTGGTCGAGGTGCTGGAGGTCAAACACGCTAAACCTCACTCAACTGCATCGCAAACCACGTTCTTCGTTCCACCTTTTATGCAAACCTCCTGTTCGTGGAAGCCCCTACAATTTCGAGTCTCCCAAAGTGCATTGCAAATAAAAATAATACCTCTGGCTTCATCAATGAACCGCTCACAACCGATCGCACACATTCCAATACAAACAGTAAGGCTTTCATTGCATCCCGCTCGCTTTTCAAGCAAACTACCTTCAAAGTTCGGACGTTCATGTAGGTTGGTTCACAAGCTGCTGTTGCGCGCACCTTGGAAACCCGCTCCGTCGACGTTTGCTGCCCAACCGAAATCCATTTACAAGACTCCAGCACAGCGCTGCGATTGCCCTCACCATCCCGAAGTTCCAAGTGCGTATTCCCTTGGCGCTTACCTGGAGATGCGGCAGCAGTAGTCTCTGGTTGCGTCAGCGTAGGTAGTGCGTTAAGTGCGTGAGATGAGTCAGTGCTCATTGACTGATTCCCGGTCAACAGCTGTCTTTGTACAGTCCGTTTGGAAAGCTCAGTGCGATCTTCCAGCCACGGGACCAGTAGGCGCTGCTTATTCATTACTGACTGCAGCCGGGACGAAGCTAAAGAAGATTTCTACCGTCAACTCACCGACCTCCTCTGAAAGAAACGCCGCACGGACAACCTGATACGCACCGGAGACCTAAATGCGCAGGTCGGTAGACTAGAAGTTCATGAGAGTGAAGTTGGGGGTCAACAAAGCCAAGGTTCTCGCAGGATGGACATCGGCCACTGATTCCTTCAACTGTGCGCCGACCACGGCTTGCTCTTCTCCAACGCCAATTTCCGATGTTCCTGGCGCCGTCATCTGACGACCTCCGGAGCCTAGGCATGCTTGGAAGCGGATTGACCACATCGCTGTTAGTTACCGTTGGCGAGGGTCCATAACGGACTGCACGTCTATTTGAAACACTTAACCACCTCCAGATCATGCGCTGGTGTGCGCTAAGTTCGTTCTGCGCTTTGGAGGCACTCAACAACGTCACCGCAATCGGTTGGAGACAGACAAGCTCACCGTACCAAATGTTTTCGGCGCATTTCAGAACACCTTAGCGTCCAACCTACGTTCTCTATCATCCGATGATGAGACACACTGGGCACAGATCCAGAGCGCCTAACGAAAGTCCGCTACCCTAGTCTGTGGCTTTACTAGACGAGCTGCTAGCCAGTGGATCTCTACACGATCTCCCCAAGTAATGGAAAGTTGTCGAATAATTTCTGCTGGCGTTGAGTACAACGCACTACGCAGAACCACAGGTGCTGAGCTCAGACAGCTCCTCCAAAAGAATGGCGAGGTTTGGTGGACACAGCGCGTCGTTGAGATGGAGCGGGCAACCTCAACGGGAAACTCCCGCAAACTCTTGCAACTTATTCACTCCACGGGAAGTAGAAGTCCAACAGTGAGCGAGGTTTTACCCAAAAGTGAAGGTGAACTAATTCACAGTCCTCCCCGTCGTCTGGCACGATGAGCAGAGCACTTTGAAGATCAGTTCAACTGGCTACCAGCGCAACCGAGTCCATCTTCAGGAGTTCACAGTGATCACTGGTGCGTGGATGTTTCTCCACTGACTGAGGCTGTTTACTATAAACTTCGCCTACTGAAGCGTTACAAGTCACGTGACCCAAACGAACTTCCTCCTGCCGTCTTCAAATATAGGGGTTCTGCTCTCACTCGTGAACTGTCATCTCTTCTATCAGGTTTGGACCACTGAAACCATTCTATCCGACTGTAATTAACGGATGTTTACCTGTACACAAAAAGGAGACCGGACCATTTGCTCCAACCATCGTGACACCCGTCTCACTTGTGTCGCAACCAAACTGCTCGCTGTCTTACTCATGCGGAGGCTCAGTTGCTTAAGGAAACAGCCCCTGCGTTAACAACAAGATGGAAGTTTTGGTCACATCCACATATGCTATTGTTTCGCATTGGTTTTTTTCAGTACTGATGAGACAACACCAAATTCTTGCATCTACACACGCCGTCTTCTTGCGCTACTTTTCAAGCTGGATTTCACTCGGGTGGCAGTTACGTCGGTCACACCGTTACGATCCGCCAGATACTACGCCAGGTACATCGCCATCCGTTCAGTCGACCAACTGTAGTCCTGTTCTTGGACATTCGAGCCGTGTTTGGCTCTGTTGACAGAGTGGCGCTTTGGGACTGTTTACTGAAGAGGAGGATACCTCAGAAGTACAGCAGATTTCTCCGTGCCATTTACCAGCAAAATTCGGGCCGCCAGCGAGTATACGGAGTTATTTTGCCCCCTTTCAGTATCAGTAGCGGTGTCAGACAGCCTCACCTTTCTTGTTCAACTTCGCCATGGAAGAGATCCTGGATCCTGCCCTTGATAACTCTGAGTCCTGCGGTATTGAACTGCTCCCTGGTGACCGCCTTCAGGACTTAGAGTACGCCGATGACATCGCCGTGATTTGCGAGTCCTCCCAAGCCGCCCAGCATGTGTTGCTCAGACTGCAGATGTCCGCCGCCCAATTTGGGTTGAGCTTTGCCCCTTCCAAATGTAAGGTCCTATTACAGGGCTGGCCATGTGCATGTGCTTCTCTCACTCTTTCGGGGCATCCGTTGGAAGTGGTGGACAAATTCATTTATCTTGGGAGTTGTCTTAATATTTGACAGACGAGATCTCTCTGCGTGTCTCCAAGGTTAGAGTCGCTTTCGCTAACCTTGGTCACCTGTGGCTTCGTCGTGATCTCAGCCTCGCTCTCAAGGGACGAGTCTATAAAGCTACGGTACGAGCGATTCTATTGTAAGACGGTGGGACTTGGTCCGTTCGCAAAAGCGATGTTCAACGGCTATCTGTATTCGATCACACCTGCTTGCGCAGTATTGCTGGTGTTCGATGGCAGCAACACATCAGGAATGAGAAAGTGGGTCGGCAAGTCTTCGGATTTAACGAAGTCCGCCGACTGATGGTTAGCATCATTTCACTGCGGAGTCTGCGCTGGCTTGAGCATGTGCTACGCATGCCTAATCAATAGCTACCACGACGAGGCCATTTGCGGACACATGCGTAGGGTGGAACAGACGAAAAGTAGGGCAATGTAAAACTTTGATTCAAAGCGTTAAGACGCAAACATTGAAGCTGACTGTTGTTGGGCGTGCCCGACTTCCGAGTTGGGGACCAAAGGACCCCGAGCACCTCTGGCTGCAAACACTGGAGGTTAAGGCCCAAGACCGTACGCAATGACGCACTTGCTGTGAGACACTTCAACCATAACAGTTGTTTTCCCTTTACCGGTATTTTTCCTCTTATGAGTTGTGGCACCCAGCTAATCGTATTGTACTAGGTAAAGTGTTGAATATATACATATATATGGGACGCTGGGGCACCTAGTTTATCAGAATGTCTGGATGTTATATCTAAAGTTTCTTTCAAAGGAACATTTATGAATAACGAGCATACATCGAAAAGGTCATATGCTTCCGTTTTACCTTTAAATTACCTATTTTGGTGACAAATTTAGGTGCTTCTCTTATGCTGTACCGTGTCAGTCCGTTCAGGATAGGCTCGATGAGTTTCGCTAGTCTGTACTTGCGGTAGCAAGTACGTTGGCAGAACGGCGAGAAGGTTTTCAGTGGGGATTACAGAGCACCTTCGCCAATACATGGTCGCAAATGGCCCGAAACTACCCACTAGCTCTATTGCACCCTGCGCACTTGATTGTCTTGTGTGCGAAAACCCACCTAGTGGGGTTAAGGTAATCAACAAACAAAGAAGTCCCCGCCTAGTTCATTTCCTCGATACCTCAGCGATTCGACCGTTGTATCCAAGTTTGTGTAAACAAATGGACTTTATGACCAGCCTCGCCCTACCCTGGCGAGGTGTGTGTCGTAATTCTTCTGGCCGGTTCACGTGAACTCACCGACTTTTCGCCAATAACATTGCAATTTGCCTTTGCTAGGTAGCCTGTCCTTTCCACAAATTATTTAAGCGGCTGATGAGAATACGCGTAATTGCTGAATCCAGTATATTAAAATTTGTGGTTTCTTCTTGATCAGTTGAAATATCCGGAGCATGATTTACAGCTACTTCTGCTGCTAATATCACGTTACTTCAATAGCAGCCACGAAGATCAACGTGTAGCAGCGGGGAATTCTGATTTGATTTAACTTTGCTGTTTATCCGAAATAAAATTGTGGCTTGTTATGTTATCAAAACGAGAATATTAATATCAAGCTCATCTTATTATAGACTCACCTTGAACGAAGTGTAGTCCCCTACGAGACCCCAGAAAACGCGACCAACTGCATTGAAAACTGAACTAGCCATAGCCACGCCGGCGAGGAATTGGTCATCTCTGATATGCTCCAAACCGAAAAACTGCAGAATATGTAGTCATGACAGATGATTACTAGCAAAACAACACATTAAATCACAAATATCTTGTCTAATAAACCCACTCCGCATGACCAAGTTATGTCAAGATCGTGCTTTAAATAAACCAGCAAGCTGGATGTTAAGCCGCCATAAACGACAGTGAGAGGAAGTCTTTAGACCAACTTGCAAAATGCACCAAAGGTTTAAACTGAATCAGCTTAAATAGGATTACTGTTTCTACTACGTTCTCCTCCAGGTAAAAACAAATGGCCTGCTGTCACGTGTTTTTGATTGATCAATGATTGACACTGGTTCAAAATGTGTTTATTTTGCATGCGCGCGTGGGTACGCCCAGCTGCGCTTCTTATACTGTAATCCACTGGGCGTTATTTGTTGAGTACACTACACTTCGCACACGTTTTCTTTCTGCCACCAACTTACTATGGATAGTGAGGAGTAGTGAGGATTTTGGTATAAGTCAGCTAATTCATCATTGTCACTCCCAATCAACAGGCTTACGCTAGTCTGAAAGAGCACCAGACGCCGGCGTTTCGACCTTCTGGGTCTCGTCAGAGGTGCGCCTCCCGGCGGACCCCTGCCGGGAGTGACGATTATGAATTAGCTGAATAATACCAAACTCCTCACTACTACTCATCAGTACTATAAAATCTATCCGTATAGCCTCTAAGTTCTATGTGGTACATAAGCGCTATGTGAAAAGTCCTAGCTTGTCAGGCTAGCCATTGTCCTCTGCCCAGTTCGTAACTTGCATGGTGGTGGAAGATGACCCGGGCTATATCATAGTCAACTGTTAATCACGCAGGTCAGTGGCTGTCCCCAATGGCGAAGTGGCACTAGCTGCTGGCATCCTGAAGTCATGGGGGCAGAATCCGGTAAAGTTCCGCTGGGACGCGCACCACTGACGAGACACAGAAGGTCGAAAAACCGACGTCTGGTGCTTTTCCAGACCAACCTAAGCCTGCTGATTGGGTGTGAAGATGATAACTTAGCTGTATTACTACGGCTAGCCTGTAGTCATGACACATGCTGACTTAATTACTATAATTGCTCTCAAGCTCTTTGGAGTGCCGCTGATAGTAGTTAGGTACGTAATCTTCACAGTCTAGCAAATAGACAGAGAGCTAACAAAAAACCATGGAGATAAGCAGATAAGTGGAAGCCATCTCGTCATAATCCTATTAACATAGTAGTTGAAGGTGAACAATACACTTCAGCTAATACGCCTCAGGAAGGAAGGAACATTTTGACGAACGGTAGAACAAAACATTTTTTTGTTTGTCACCCGCCGATTTTTTACTTTTTTGTTTTTCAATGTTTAAACTATTAACTATGTTAATAAAAACAATTATGTACACAGTTCTTCCACTGATTCCTGCTGAGGGCCATGTTTTCAAGAGTGTTAGCCATTAGCACTCCTCATCTTTGGGTCCCCATCCTGGAAGACGTACGGTTCCAACAGCCGCTAAACACGACGTCAGCGATTTCATGTACTGTCGCCAAGTGGAACGTTGACCACCACGCAGTCGCCTCCAGCCAGGTCCTTAACTAGCTAATAGTGCGTGACACGGTAGACGCCCAGGTGCCATGCGTAGGAACTGACCGAGCCATCACAACTGGCTCAGCAAAACCAGTTTGTTGAAGGGAATACTCGCATTCCCCAGGCTGTGACGTTGAACCTCATTACTGTTAACTCGATGTTGTCATCAAACACAAGCAATCCTCCTTAAGCAACCGTTATCGAAGGCAGATAGACGACACATGTCTTCTACGCGAATCGACCAGGACTCGCTCCCATACAAAAACACTAAGCGAACAGATGCGCTGTAAACGCAGTCCGTTAACGAGAATGAGACGTCGCGACGATGCCACAAGTGCTTCAGGTTGATAAATGCTGATCGGGCTTTAGCGATGTGAAGAGAAACTTCTTTGCTCATAGAGTCGTCAGCAGAAACACAGCTCCCAAGGTAGATGAAACTATCTACCTGGTCAACTTGTGCACCTTCGACAGTAAGCACGTGAGCAGGTGAAAGCCAATCCGTGAGCAGTATTTTACACTTCGACGTTGATGTTGCTTATGGGCTATGACTTGCTGACGTTAATGTGGAGATTGTGTCCGACTACAACTACAAGCATGTCAACTGCGACTTCACAAAAGGTCGGATAGGCTCATCTTATTGTCTATGCTAAAAAGAAACGTAAGCACTACGCTTGAAGCAAAAAATTGTTTTTGATTTATTCATCGTCAAGCTAACTACATAAGTATACCTTGGGAAAGGTGTAATTCAGTAGAACTTACATCATTTAGTAACTGATCGGACAAAATTAAACAGCTATCCTGACAGGCGTTAGGCGAACAAGTGATTGAGGGCACTTGGGGCTCTTGCACAATGTTTAATCTGTCCCGGTTGGTTTGTTGGCCAAAGAAGGTGCCGTGCATTGACGAGTCTCATCTGAATGCATAGATTCGGTGTTATCCATCTGATGCATACCGCCTTTGCAGTAGCAAGCACCAGTGCCGCTGACCGGGGATTTAGTTGCAGCCGTACTCTATGCAGGACTTCGAAAGCAATACGCTTGCCTATTTGATGCCCAGTGCAAAGCACTTGGTTAGTTATTGCACCCGGATAAGCTACTTCCGGCTGGTTGATGGGCGCATTCGGCAAATGTTCCTTGATTCGTGTTTTAAGTGGATGGTCGGAGCTATACTCAGAGGAGCAGGTAAACCACTAGATAACCATTGGTTGGAGTTCACCAGGCACTTTAACCCCAAACCAAGGAACAATCGGTGATCTCCTCGTAAAGACAACGTTAAGTTGATCTGCATTAAACGTCTGTCTGCTAGTTTCTATTAGTCATCTACATGGTTCAGCCGCATATCAACATTAAACGAAATTCGGAGGAACTACTGTTTCTTCTTACCCGTTTGCACGGTGGATCTCGGAATGCTTGTCTTCATATGCTGCTCTGTAGCAAATACGTGTGGTTTTCATTAACGATAGGTCAGAATCTAATGGCTGCTAATCTGAGTTCGTCGTGTAAATGCACCTTAAAGACGTTCATGAATGCGACTTATTCACTGATGCGAAGCGGGCGTGAGTAAACTATCAGGGAGCTGACGAGTGAGTGAGTCTATCTGCAACACCAGGACAGATAATGTGAGCTCATTGGCAATACGTCGCGAACCAAGCAGACGTCATATATTAAATTGCGCACGTGATCGTCAGGCCTCGGTAGCCCAGTGGTAGGGCAGCAGCCCGATAATCCTTGGGACCGGGGTTCGATGCCCCGCCGAGGCAGATTCTTGTGCGAAGCTTAATCGAGGCTTCTAATTTCTACAAAAAGTACACTACTCACAAAAATCCACAAGTTATCTGCAGTAAAATTGATGTTATGACGGTGAAAATTACCTCCACAGTCACTCAGTCAAGGTAAGAAAATTGGCGAAGGTTACAAATTTTCAACTACCTACAAGTATTGCATGCTCTCAAGAAACTCATCCATCCAGTTAGGTCAGATTCTCATCGCACCCGAATCGAATGTGGCGCAGATGTAATATGTTGCACCCGCGCAGACATCAGTGATATTATTCCGTACCCATTCCCGAACTAACTACGATGGAGCAATACAGGCCTATGCCTACTAGTTCCCTATTTTCAGTATTCAGTATCTAGTATTCCTGGGTTAAAATGGGTTCAGTTTAAATGATTATTTGTGATCCGTACTTTGAGGTGTATTAGAACCAGTTGGCTTGTCTCAGTCCAGAAAAATGAGCAAACTACTAGTAATAATTGTGCTAGTTCAACTGGTCTTGGTGGCGAGAAAATTATCGAATAAAGTAGTCCCAAATCAAGAGCGAATACAAGAAATCAGCTGGCTCGGTTCATGGCGCCGTACGCAACAAGGTACCTAACCAATGCTGGGGTTGGCAGTAACCCCGGTTTCTGCAAACTTGATGCAGTATTGGTAGAAGGTATAAGTTAGGGAAACTGATTTGCGCTTGTGCGCAGTTAATGACCCTTCAAAATCAACAAGCTGTTCAAGGAAGTATAACACGTATTTTCCAAGCACTATATACTCAGAGGTAATTCATCACAGTCCATTCTCAAGCACCAGGCTTTGGCACATCTGAAAGAGCAGCAGACAGTACTGCGTCGACATGCTGAGTCTCGTCAGTGGGGCGCCTTCATCGGACTCTTATCGGGATCCTATCATATGAATTCCGGATGCCAGCAGTTAGTTCCACTCGATCATTTTTGACGGCTCGGACCTGTATGCTTGACATTTGACAATGATATAGCTCGACCCATCTTCCGCTTCCATGCCAGTTACAGACTGTGCAGAGGATAGCAGTTAGCTCCACGAGCTAAAACTTTCCGCATAGCGTCTGTGTTCGACACAGCAATTAGAAGATATACCGACGGATTTCTATATTACTAACACGTAGTAGGGCTTTTGGTGCAATTCAGAGGTAATTCATCACAGTGTACTCTCAGTTAGCAGACTTTGGCACATTTGGAAATAAACCAACCAGCGCTATTTTGATCGTCTGGGTTTCGACAGGGGTGCGCCTCCTTCGGCCACTTGTTGCGTTCCGGCCACATGACTTCCGGATGCCGACAGACTGTTCCAATAAGCCATGGGTGACGGCGCGGATCTGCATGATTAACAGTTGACTGCATATACAGTTAACTTCAAAAAGGAGCTATATCCACCCAGCTGGGTGATTATTCAGCTGTTACACACATGTGTTCCGCATTGTAAAGTGAAGAAAAGTTAACACAATGAATACACAGGCAGGTTACTAAAAGGCATAGAGAGCAACGTGGTCAAAAAGCAAACTTGCTTGTAAAATTCAACAAAACTGAGGTCTGATCGCACGAAAAACTTGCCAAATATGAAATTACGGATGAATGGGGAGTACTTGTGCAGGCATGAATGGATCTATACTATTATCTGATTGAAGAAGTTATACATTCAGCAAG